TTTCCTCTTACTGTCCCCAAAGCTTTATCATTATAATGACTGAGATGAATTATAATGAATGAGATGAATGGATATTGTTTCTGGAAATGTCCAGGTACAAAGTTGATTTGACTATAATTTTCTGTTTTCTGGCACTTCAGTGCCAGTCACTGATGTTTATCATAACAATTAGAAACTGCGTGATTTAGAAATGCTTTTTGAATGGCCAGAAGAAATGCTAAGGTATGAAAAATAGGATCTCAATGTTGAAGTATGTTTTAACCCAAATTTTTGGTATGACAATTTTCATATATACTAAAATGCTGAAATACCAGCAGGAAATACTGTCCTAAATTCAGTAATTGTTGATTTTTCCATATTTTCTTTCCCCTTATGGACACACACATACTCACACATACTTTTTTATTGTCTAACTATTTGAAAGTAAGTTGCAGACATTATTACCTTGGCTGATACGTGTTTTTTAAAATTTTTTAATGTTTGTATTTATTTGAGAGAGAGAGAAAGATAGGACACAAGTGGGGGAGGGGCAGAGATAGAGGGAGATACAGAATCTGAAGCAGGCTCCAGGCTCTGAGCTGTCAGCACAGAGCCCTATGTGGGGCTTGAACTCATGAGCTGCGAGATCATGACCTGAGCTGAAATTGGACACTCAACTGACTGAGCCACCCAGGCACCTCGATATGTATTTTAATGTATACCAATTCTAAGAAATGTAGTTATCTATATATAAAGTGCATGGTATTATATCCATATATATAATATATGGCAATTAAAAATATTTTTATTATATGTTTATTTCCCATAAAGATATTTTATTTGTTAAAATACCCAATGGCCTAAACACAACAATTCACTTTAGGTTTATTATCAGTATTAAGTCTGTCCTGTACCTGACCACCAAAGAGATATGGATTTCTCCAGAAGGGCTGGTGTTTTAGTCTGTCTTCCTATAGGTAAATTAGAGTTGTTGTCTATCACTCAGACATGTGAGTGCCTAATGGATTCTCAGTGATGAAATGGGAGTAAGTCTCTTATTGCCAATGTAAACTAAATCCTCCCCCAAATATTAAGCTGCGAGAAAAGTACATAATATTGCCATAAAATAAATTTGGGTCCTGAAAAAGTATTTAAACAGATCCTGGGAGAGAGGATAATTGTCATCAAATAATTAACTGTAAAAGAGATGGGAAATCTTTCTTGGACTTAAAAATGTTCATATGTGAATTTAATCACCTATAACCTGGGTAAGTTTTCTTAGGTTTATTAAACTTTCTTGAATGTGATAATAAGTTTCACTCATCTTCAGATAAAATATTGAATGGCATATTTTGAAATTCACCTTAGAAGTGTTCTCTTATAGATCATATAATGGGCACAAACGTGCCCCCCCCCCCAAAAAAAGACATTTTGAAGTCCTAACCACCAGCACTTCTGAAAGTGACTTGATTTGGAAAGTGGGTTGTTGTAGATGTAAGTAGTTAATGTAGGATGATGTCATAGTGGAGCAGGGCCAACTTCTAATCCAGTAGGGATGGTGTCATTGTAAGAGGACAATTTGAACACAGACAATGCACAGAGGGAAGATGAGATGGCACATAGGGGGAAGATGGCCATGTACCAACGGAGACAGAGATTAGAGTGACACATCTGCAAGTCAGGCTTCTGTCACCAGAAGCAAGGAGAGAGGCATGGAACAGGTTCTCCCTCAGTGCCCTCACCAAGAGTCAACCCTGCCAAAACCTTGACTTCAGACTTCTGGCCTCCAAACTCTAAGAGAACAAATTTCCATTCTTTTAAGCCTTCCAGTTTGGGGCAGTTCATTACACCACACCCAGGAAATTCTCACAGCTGGCTGATAATAGATGATAGATAAGCAGACAGACAATCTTTCAGACCTTTTAGGTTTATGTCCAGTCGTAAAATGAGGACCTGAGGAACTTATAAGTGAAGCAGTATAGTGGTCCCAAAGTTATTAGTTGAACCACATAAAATTACCATTAAAAATTTTTTTTTTAATTTTAGAGGGGGTAGGGGCAAAGGGGTGGGAAGAGAGAGAGAGAGAGAGAGAGAGAGAGAGAGAGAGAGAGAGAGAGGACCTTAAGCAGGATCCACACTCAGAGCTGAGCCCAATACGGGGCTCAATCCTACGACCCTGGGATCATGACCTGAACCAAAATCAACAGTTGGATGCTCAACCAACTGAGCCCCGCAAGTGCCTTAAAATTACCATTTTTGTAGGTAAAAAAATGATTTAATAGAGGCAGTTTCATGTGGCTCAATCTAATAAATAGATTACATAAATAATTCAAGTTTTCTAAAGCCCCCTTTTCTTTTTTCTTTTGTTTTAATGTTTATTTATTTTTGAGAGAGAGAGAGAGAGAGAGAGAGAGAGAGAGAGAGAGAAAACACACGAGCAGATGAGTGGCAGAGAGAGAGGGAGACACAGAATCCAAAGCAGGCTCTGGGCTCTGAGCTATCAGCATAGAGCCTGATGCAGGGCTTGAACTCATGAACCGTGAGATCATGACCTAAGCCAAAGTCAGACACTTAACTGACTGAGCCACTCAGGCGCCCCTAAAGCCCCCTTTGCCCTGAAAGAGATCTTTAACTGAATTCACTAGGAAAATACTTTATTTTCCCTGCATTGCTTTTCTTCTCTAAATAGATTCTTAGGCTTCATTCATTTATTTCATTTAGATAAGGAAGTTGTATCTTCATGACCTATATGAAATTAAACACTGGAGGCAATTGCTTTCTGAGATTTTGCCTGCTATTTCTCTTGTTTACACATCTCTGTGAATAGTTTATTCTAGGAGACAATGCTGGAGATTCCACCCAATTGACGTTCAAAACTTGGGTTTCCCCAGGGGATTTTCTCTTATTCCATTTGGCACAGCAGTAACTGTGTTTGACAACATCTGCCTTCTAGCACCGCTCTGCAGCTCAATCTGACACTTGGTTCCCATCCACATTTTCTTCCTGCCTGTCTTCTAGGGAAGATGTTTCCACAACAGAGGTGGAGAAGAGAAGACAGCAAGGGCAAACCAGAGCTTTAGTTTCCCAATGAATGAGTCACAAATTCACCAAATGTCTTCACCTGTCCCTTATTCCAATTCATTCAAAGATTTTTTACATAATCCAATATTTTCTAAACCAGCCCTCTGTCTTTTGGGATTCTGAGCACTCTGATGTCAGTTTTGAGTGTTTCTTTTCTTTTTTTTTTTTTAAATTTTTTTTTTCAACGTTTTTTATTTATTTTTGGGACAGAGAGAGACAGAGCATGAACGGGGGAGGGGCAGAGAGAGAGGGAGACACAGAATCGGAAACAGGCTCCAGGCTCCGAGCCACCAGCCCAGAGCCCGACGCGGGGCTCGAACTCACGGACCGTGAGATCGTGACCTGGCTGAAGTCGGACGCCCAACCGACTGCGCCACCCAGGCGCCCCGAGTGTTTCTTTTCCTAGACATTCATACAGCGAATCCTTTTCAGAGTTTCCTCAACTACGAAAATAAAATAACCACTTACAAATTTTACTGACAATTTTTTTTAACCAGCAGGAAAGAAGATAGCCAAGTCCAGAAACATCTCTTGTGTGACCACTGCTAGAGCATGCCAACTTATTTTCATAGAAAGCAGATATTTAATAGGAAGTTCATTTCATAAAATTTTAATAATCCTAATTCAAATAAATGTTATGACTCTAAGAAATTGATTTAAGAGAAAACACCAAAACTTACCAATCAGAAGATTCCTCTACATTCTGGAATACCTTAAATCATTGCCTACACCAGGTAGGAAATCCAGAATATAGGGTTTATAGCAGCAACTGCCATTTAAATTATTAAATTATTTTTCAATTAGACTCTTTGTTATTTTGCTGTGACTTTAAATTCTAACAGATTATTTCAAAATGTCATTCTACTTCTCAATAGAAAAAAATCCCATGCCATTATTCTCTTCTTCATTATATGAGATTCTAAAATTTCCCTGTGCCAGACAATATACATAAACAGCTGGTGATATTAAGCTGACTTAAAAAAAAATCCCTTGGCCTAAAAGAGGTATTACTTGACTACAAAATTTATATTTCTCTCCTCAGCATACTTTACAGCTGGGTTTTCAGAAGTATATAAATTTCACATATGTGTTCACATAGAATTTGAGAAAGGAAGAATGTGTGTTTTTGTGGTTTTGTAAGGAGAAATTCCCTAGGGACGGAGAGTGCCAGTAGGGTATTAGAGTGATCAATACTCCCCAGGGTGCAGAAACTACCATGAGGTAGTGTTAGATGCTGCCATTTGTATCATGAACTCTCACCTGCTGCATTTCATACTCATTAGAGATGAGCCTAAGTACCTTTGCCCCCTCAGCTCATCTACAAGTATATGGCAAGAAGAAGCAATAAGAAAACACAATCCTTCCTCCTTCTTCAAATAGAGACTTCTTAAATGAGCAGGCTCAGTCCTTGAAACGATGACATTAGTCTGGTTGCACTCTACCAAAACAAACCCAACATTTGAAAATCAACTTAGAAGCTGATGACTCCTTTCACAAATACTTCTATTTGTATTTCACTTAGGTATTTTTAAACAGCAAGATTTTCTAGTATATAAAACTGTGATTGGAGATTTTATATACATATAAAATACACACACACACACACACACACACACACACACACACACGCATGCATGCACACAGATATATCTGAAAATTTGACTGGTATACAAAGCAAATTCTATCTCCCAGCTCTAAATGCTTTTTCTTACCACACTTATCCCCAACAACCACATCCAATCTGAGATCCAGTTGCTTTCAAAGAGGCACACAGTTTCCATCAGAAAACAACAGATTTGGCTACACTCTCATAATAAAGATTCAAATGAGTTAGCTGCATACAGCAATTCTCTGACCTCTTTGTCCTGTGAATTAGGGTTCCTGACTTCTCCAGGTCACAGATCCCTTAAAGATGCTGTTATATAATGAAATAAACTTACTGTTTTCTTTAACACTTTGAGAGCATAAGGCTTCTGGGTCCCCTTCTGTTTGCATCTGTACACAATGGATGTAGCACCCCTTGAGGGGGAAAAAGACAAAAAGAAAATGTTATGCTCTGGACATGAAATCAAGGGGAAAGCTTGAAAATAAGTATCTCTTGCAGTTACCCTCATAACTGACAAGTGTTTATAAGTTATTCCATAGGACCAGCCCAACTGTTGAGAGTATTTTTTTTTCCTCACAACTAAATACAGTTTGCTCAGAAAAATTCTAGCTTTCCATTCTGTTCTTTTCCTCCTGGCCCATCCCTATATAAATAACATGCCCAGGGCTGCTGCTGCATTCAGTAGGCTCTGGCATAACTGAGCCTACTGAATGCTTTTGCTACTGAAAATAGCTTTTGTCCAGGTAGCAAAACCTGAACACTGAATGAATGCTACCTGAACATAGCTTTTGGAGGATATCCACCAAATTCGTTCAAAGTCCCTGAACTTTCCTAGAAGTATGTGTCTGGAGTAAAATTAGCCATATGGCTCCAGGGAGAGGGGCAAGTGAACAGGGGACCCTGTGAATTTACAACAATTCATTTGATGCCCTGGCATTCTCCCAGAGCCAACATTAGTCCCACAAGGATTCTGGATCTTTCATCTTGGTGAACACTGTTACCATTTATTTATATATGCCCTAACAAAAATAATTATGTGAGAAGTTCAGGAGAAAATACTATAGAAATGGTCAAAGACATACAGAGAAAAAGTAGATCTACCTCCCTATAAAAAACTCAAGTACAGAATGTGTTTTACGTATAATGGGGAATGGCAAGAAAGGACTCAATAACTATCTTCACACATGAAAGACACATACATACTAAAAAGAGAATATTAAAAAGCAGACAGTGTGATCCTCATGTTCCCTCTCTACACATGAGAGGAAGACAATGAAATAGAGACAAAAGAGGCTCATAGACCAAGCAGGCTTAAGTTACAACCTCAGAAAGAGAACTTCCGATAAATCTTAAAATAAGATCAGTTGAAGTCAATCTGTCACGCTATGAATATTAGGTTAAAGGACCTCTTATGACATACTCAATCCTATGATTCTGAAATTCTGAGTAAGTGTGAACGAATTATAGAAATCAAACATGTTCCTTACTGCCCATTCACAATCCATTTTTAACAGAGTGAGGAAAAGTTAGGAACTGGTGGTGTATGTGCCAATAGAGAAGAAAAATTTCAACGCATTTTTAAAAACTTTGGGAAGACATAACATATACACAAGAAATAAAGGGTTTTAGAAACAGAATAAGTAGAGGTAAATACAAAATTCAACTTTATTTTTAATTGTCTAAAAGATAACTATCTAAAGCAAAACTATTGACAATGCATTGTATTTATAGCATATGTAAAGTAAAATGCATGACAACAGCACAAAGAAGAGGGGAATAAATTAGAAAAATACTGTTGGGTCCTTATACTACATCTTAAGTATTATGAAATTATTTAAAGGTAGACTCTAATTAATTAAAGATGTATATTGTATAGCCTAGGACAATGAATAAAATAACTTAAATAATCAGTAAAGAAAAAAGAATCAATAATGAAACTAAAATGTAATAATCAAAAATGAAATGTGAGAGAGGAAGAAACAAAAGATTAAAAATAAAAGTTAAAAATATGGTGGATCTTAATCTAATCATATTAGTAATTACATTAAATATAAACTTTATAAACACATTAATTAAAATCAAAGATCAGTAGACTGGATTGAAAAACCAAGATCAAACTATATGCTGTGTACAATAAACCTATTTAAATATAAAGGCATATATATGTTAAAAATAAAATTATAGGAAAGAGATACTATGCAAACACTCATCAAAAGAAAGCAGAAATAGCTATATCAATATCATGTCAGCCAGACTTCAGAGTAAATATGAAGATAGAAATTACTTAATTATGAAGGGGTCAATTTCCCAGCATGACATAACAAACATAAATATGCATGTACCTAACAACATCACTTCAAAGTACATGAAGCAAAAACTGATAGAACTGAAGGAGAAAAAGACAAATCCACAAATACAATTGGAGACTTCAACACACCCTCCCAGGAAATTATAGGATAAATGGACAAATTATCACCAAGGATAGAAGACATGGACATTATTTTTTAATTATTATTATTATTATTTACATGTTTATTTTGAAAGAGAGAGTGTGTGCACAGAAGAGGAGCAGAGAGACAGGGAGACAGAGAATCCGAAGCAGGCTCCATGCTGCAGGGCGAGCTCTCACAAACTGGTGAGATCATGACCTGAGCAGAAATCAAGAGTCAGACATTTAACTGACTAAGCTACCCAGGTGCCCCAGGGCACGAGTGAACATTATTAACTAAACTAACCTAAACTGACATTAAGAGAAAACTACACAAACACAGCAGAATACACATTGTCTTCAAAGTTAGAAGATTCACATAGTTGATTTCCAGACTTAGTACACAGCTACAGTAATCAAGAGAGCAGTGTTGGAGAAAGAATAAACATGGAAAAGGAGGTAATAAAAAAAATAATCCAGATACAGTTATAAACATATAGGGCCCGTTGGTTTCTAACAAAGGTAAAAAAGGCAATTCAGTGAAGAAAGGGCAGTCTTTCCAACATAAATAGTGCTGGAACAGCTGGATACTCATATGCATCGAATAAGCAAAACAAAACAAAAACGTTTATCCAAACTCACACTCTACCAAAAAATTCTCAAAATGGAGCACAGATATAAATATAAAACTTAGAATTCTAAAACTTGGGAAAAAAAATAAGCATGAAAGAAAATTTTGTGACCTTCAGTTAGGCAATGATTTCTTACATACAAAACCAAAGCACAATAAATCAAAGAACAAATGAATAAACTGGACCTAAGTTAAATTAAAAATATCCACTCTTTGAAAGTCAGAGACAGGGAGAAAATTTTTACAAGTCACTGTATCTGATGAAGGACTTCTATCTAGAATTACAAAGAAACTCAAAGCCAATCAATAAAAAATAATGGATTTCAAAAATGAACCAAAGATTTTCACATATACTTCACTTCACCAAAGAAAATATATAGGTGGCAAAATTTGCACAAAGATGCTCAACATCATTAGTCATTAGGGAAATGAAAATTAAAACCACCATGAGATACAACTACATACCTAACGGAACGCCTTAAAGAAAAGAGAGAGACTGTGTGTACCATGAGCTGGCAAACAAGTAGAGCAACTAACACCTATACACTACTGGAGGGAATGCAAAATGGTACTGCCACTTTGGAAAACAGCTTTGCAGCTTCTTATAAAATTAAGAATACCGTACAATCCATCCAACTCACTCTTAGGTGTTTGCCCAAGTTAGCTGAAAGCTATGTTCACTCACAAACTTGAAAACAAATCTTTTTGTCAGCTTATTAATAATCATCAAACACTGTCAACAACTCCAATATCCCTCAACTGCAAAATGGATTAACAATCTGTGACACATCCATATAGGGGAATACTATCTAGAAATAAAAAGGACAAACTAGTGTGCACACAGCAACTTGGATGACTCTCTAATACCCTAAGTGAAAGAAGCCATGTTCAAAAGACTATATGCTGTGTCACTCCATTTATATAATATTCTTGCAAAACAGAAAATAGATTAGCTCTCAGAGATAAGGGAGGAACTGACTACAAACGAGTATGGGAGAGTTTTTTAGCATGATGGAACTTGTATATCTTGTGGTGGTAGTTATACAACTATATACATTTGTTAAAATAGGTAGAGATGTAGAATAAAATAGGTGAAACTTCCTATATGTAATCATACCTTGATAAAAAATACAATGAAAAATCTTCCCAAGAAAACCATATTGTTCAAAGGTAAGATTTTTAAAAAATTATCAAAATGTAGGCCATATCATTCAACTTAGTCTATGTTTATTTAATGGTAACTCATGAAATTTTAAAAAAAAAGCAAAGAAAAGAAAAGAAATTCAAGGGAAAGTGATTCGCAAACACTGAAGAAAACTAAATATCTTATACCCATTTTTATACCAATTGAAAAATTAATATACTCAAATATTCATGTAAAAGATATATATTAAATATCCATTTCTTAATTTCCTTATCACATTAAATTAACCTGTCAATAATTTCAGTATATAAATCACTGTCTTAGTAAAAGTCTTCCAAAAATTTTTAACAAAATACATTCTTGACTGATCAACCTCAGGACACAAGTATGCTAGAAATAACCTAAAACATTTTTTTTAATTTTAATTTTTTACTCTTTATACATGAGGAATCTATGAAGAGATTCCATTTTGCTAATTAATAGACTTATTAATATTAACACATCTTTTAATTTTTTCAACCTTTTTGATATATAACTGACATGTAACATGCAAATTTAAGGTGTACAACGTAATGATTTGACATATGTATATACTGTAAAATAATTACTACAATAAGATTAGTTAATATATCCATAACCCCACATAGTTGCAATTTTAGGAATGACTTTGCTTTTTTTTAGAGGATGGAAAGATTAAGTAAAAAGAACAGAACAGCTGAAATAAATTTATATGAAAATAACATTTAAGTAATTTCTCTAAAGTATAACCTATTTTCTTTGCTGAAATTAAATGATTAGCTTAAAATGTGTTCATATAATTCTAGAAAGAAACCATGTTTCAGGAAGTTTTAGAGAATTAGGATGAAAATGCCTAACTTTAAGACCATTTAGAATCATGGGCATTCTCCCAGTAAGGAAGGCTATAAATCAGTGATTGACTTTCTACGGAAGGACTTATTACGACTTTTGTGATTTTGAGGTTGAAGCAATAGAGCTTGGCTTCCTTTGGCATCAGACTGACAACTTGCTCTTTGGAAATGCAAGAGAACTTCAGATACAGAATCTCTTAAAACAGAGAAGTCTGGAGGGGGTGTTAACTATGCTGCATGGCCCCAGGGGTCTCTGTAATGATATGCTTCATAGTCATTCAAAATGGTCTTTGTCAAGTGTGTGAAGACTCGTAAGTTATGAGTTTCATTTTTTTTTTAAT